CCCGGATTTGGGGAAGTTCCATTAACTTGGGGTTACCACAGTATATTGTGTACTGCAAGTGTCGTAGTATAGCCTTGAAGCTTGTTTATGCATTATTGTTATTGTAATTCGTCTGGGACAAAATGGCGCAAACATATTATGCACTGAGGTTATTGCTTAAAGAAACAGTTATGAAAAACAATATGTTCCATTTCTAACACCTTGTCAGTTTGCAATATCTCTTAAAGACAAAGTACACAGTTTAAGAAACACAACATTTCATTCTAAAACTTGTAATATTTACATTTGCCCATAACAGCAGGAAGTCCATGGAAGAGGTAAAAGGGTGGGCCAATGATGCAAATCACATAACCAGAACTGCCGAAAGCAGCGAACATACCCAAAAAGGGGGCATGTCTGTGTCCCCATGTCTCCCAGTCCCTAGTGTCTGCGTCCCCATGTCTCCCAGTCCCAGTGTCCCCATGCCACTAGGGGACATTGAGAGATATTGGGACACTGGGATACATGGGGACACTGGGAGACCTGGGGACACAGACACTTGAGGTGTCCCAGAGGCGGCTCTAGACTTTATGAGGCCTTAGGCGAAACTCAAACATGAGGCCCCACTAACGACCGCAACTCATGGAACTGTTTTGGGCAGGAGCCGCGTGTGTGGTCGGTAAAAGGGACCCTCCACACTTTTTCAGAACCCCTGAACCGATCTGGGTGAAATTTGGATATGTTTGTCCCCCAGATCAGGGGATATGTAATTTGTGGGCATACCCGGGGGGGGAAAGGGGTGTTCTGAGTTTTGGGAAATTGTGTGCTCTCTTCCTGGAGATAATTGATTTATTCCTTAACTTATCTCAATATCTCCCAGGCAGAGAGAAGGCGTGTATTACTGTAAATCTGTGTGTTGATTGGCTGTTGTCTTTGTTTGCTGTGGGAGGTCCTCTTGCAGGAGGATTTCTCATAAAAGCCTGTGTGTGTCAATAAAATTCATTCCTGTTACACCCTTCATGAAGTCTAGGCTCATGTTTGGGGGATATTCTATTTGCTGGGAAGAATCACCTTGGAACTGCATTTCATCTACCTTATTCCTCCTGCTGGGCTCCCTGTTACAGGCCATTGGTCTACTCTGCGTGGCGCCCTCCACCTCCTGGCACCTGGGTGTGGTGCACCCAGGATCAACACTGCAGCGGCCATTTTTAAAATTATTTAGGGCGGCCTGGGGGGCAATTGCCTCCCTGTCCCTCATCCCAGCCCGCCCCTGCTGGTCCGATCAACAATTTTGTACAACAAGACCAAACTGGAGATTGCAGGCCAGCTACTTCTGCCAGAGGGAAATAATGAATACATTGCAGATATGATAGCACATTACTTCCTCGAAAATATGAACTCTGGAATTTCACCAGAGATTAAATGGTGCACATTTAAATGTGTCATTAGAGGACACTTGATAAAACTGGCAGCACAGTGGCACAAAAAAAGAGAAGAAAGCCTCGCACAGCTATATGTTAAATTAGCCCAATATAGTAATGAAAATAAATCTATACCTTCAAAAGAGACTACAGATAAGATAATGTTACCGGGAAACTGACGGAGGCCAAGCACAGAGAGATGGACACAGGTTTCTTCAGGAAGGAAGAGATCTTTATTCGATTCACCGACTGGGACTCAGAGGGACTTATGTCACCAAAAACAGCAAAGATCTGAGTACTGAATACATAGAGTACATTCCTTATATAGCACTGTAGCTTCTCCCATAATTAGCTACGCCCACACATACCCTTAACCTAATCAATGAATAGAGACTAAACTCATCCATCCAGTCTAACCATGTGGCTCATCTGAAACAAAGGAGAGGGACGCGTAATTCCAGTTCCTGCATTCCTGCACATGCTCAGTACAGTGATGACAGTATCTTAGCTACGTGTAACTAATTAACTGATACTACAAACACATGTACCTACATATGCCTTGTGGCAAGCTTGGCCTGCTAAACTTGTATTTTACTGGAATTCCATCACATTCCCCCCTTTGATGCTTCTGATTTAAAATAATTCCAGATGCATCACCAATCATAGTTTGCTTACACCTCAAGTTGCCATAGACCAGACTAGACTTTGCAATCCTCTAAAGATACAAACCCCTCAACATTCCTCTTCCTGCATGTATTCTCCTTGATCTAGAGCTTCATACCTGCAAACAGCCTGTAACGGATTGCCTGGCACCCCGACTGGGTACCTCCGTTAAAGGATGCTTCTAGCGCTTCCTGAGGACTCCAAGCACTGCAGCAGACACCACAACCACCGAACCGGAGAAGCATATGAATCCTCTCAAGCATATGAATGCTGTAGACAGTTGAATAGGAACCATACGAATAGGTTTACTCTCCTAGCAGTCAAACTGGAACAGCATACAATAAATCCTTCCCCAATAATGAGACGACACTTCACTTTGAGGGTTAAGCAGGAACTCCCTGTACTGTCACATACAGTCTCTTTTATTCCCAAACCACAAACATAGTACAGCCCACAGGGCGTTACAAAACAACCAATCAATCCGTACAATACACCCAGACACTCCCACACAAAATCCTCCCCTCTGCCTGTGATATGATTACTGAACACAATGGGTAATCTCATTATCACCGGCAGAGGAATACAGTTTTTACACAATATTTATAACTTCTAAAATATACATCTCACAAACATAAAGCATACATTTTCATAATCAATCCATTCAGGGGAACAACATATTAAAAAATGGCACGAATCAGACCAGGGGTTCAAAAGTTAAGGGAAAATCCTTTGTGACTAAATGAAGCATGGCTTTCCGGCCCAAACCAGTTTCAGAGCCTTCTATCCTGGAGATTGAATTGGGAAGTAATTCAATTATCTCCCAGGACAGACACACAACTCCATTATGCACATGGTGAGCACAAAGCATTAAAATATTATAAAATACACAAAGTCACATTTTATACATAAAACACAGACATGTCACATATCCCCAGATAGCTGGGATCTGAGCGCACAAAACTACCGAATAGCGCTCGGATCCTATTCACACAGTTCAATTGCCATGGAGCCGAAGTCTTTAACTACACGAATGGGCTCCATGGCATACCTATCTGGGTTAATACATTCACATAAAGTCTGGTCCATAGTCCAAAGGCAAGAGGCGGGCAAGCAGCCCCCTCCAAGGACACGTGGCGAGGCCGGTTTCGACACATTTCTCCCCTTTACCATCCAGACTAACAGGGTATCTGACCTCCTGCCGGTCAGTGCCCTGGTTAGTCCAGCAACCCACCCATGAAGCACAAACAGCAATACAGCCCACCCACAATAACTGGTTACTACACCTGGATAAAATAGCAACTTGTCCATGTCCAGGTGCCTCACCACGGCTGTGTGGGGGGCTGGTAGACTGCCTTGGTGGGTTGCTGAGTGGGCAGAGACCAGCGGTACTCTGCCTGGGTGCCAGCGCTACCACTGAAGTAGCCTGGTTGGAGCCTGGTTGTGGGAGGGGGAGACCGACTGTCTCCCCTCTGGATACACTGCTCTGTGGCTGGGGGACAGGACCGACCGTCCCTACCCCTGGTGCTGCAAGTGCAGAGACTACGGTCCCATCTGCATAGTTGTGGGGCTTAACATCTCCCCTTGGTGGGTTAGGCTGCCGCTGGAGAGAGGGTGTAACAAGCTCCTCTCTCTGAACTGTAGACTGCCGCTGGGGAGAGGGGGAAACCTGCTCCTCTCCCTGACACCCTCTTTGCTGGTGGAGAGGGGGACCAACTGTCTCCCCCTTCAACACTCTGTCCTGCTGCTGGGGTGCGAGACAGAGGGTCTCTGCTTCCTGGGGTACACACTGCTGCTGGGGAGGAAGGATGGCACCTTCTGCTCCCTGGGGTACACACTGCCGCTGGGGAGGAAGGATGGCACCTTCAGCTCCCTGGGGTACACACTGCCGCTGGGGAGGAAGGACGACACCTTTGGCTCCCTGGGATACACACTGCCACTGGGGAGGAAGGACGGCACCTTCTGCTCCCTGGGATACACACTGCCGCTGGGGAGGGAGGACGGCACCTTCTGCTCCCTGGGTACACACTGCCGCTGGGGAGGAAGGACAGCACCTTCTGCTCCCTGGGGTACACACTGCCGCTGGGGAGGAAGGACGACACCTTCAGCTCCCTGGGATACATACTGCCGCTGGGGATCTGGGCCGACTGCCCAGCATCCCTGTAGGGCCGGTAGAGAGACAGCCGTCCCATCTCTACCTGCCATTGGTGGGTCTTCCCAGGACCAGTCTATGAGGTCCCCTACTTCTGCAACTGGTAGTGAAGCAGTGGGGACCTCGGCTGCGTTTTCCCAGCTGTAGGTTGGCAGGTCTGGGTCCGCCACCCAGTTTTCCTGTTCTGCGTCTATGCTCTGCGGCTGACATGAGTTCAGTAGTTCCACATAGTCCATCTCTAGCTCTCGTTCCATGGCAGCGAAACGGCGGATGTCTTCTCCCAGTCCAATAGATCTCGGGCCCTGTAACATCTCACTTCGGTAATGAAAGATAGCCCAGTACCGTGACTCTGCTGGACTGCCAAAGTCAACGTCTTCTGTTAAGGCCTTCCACAACAGGCCAGGGCTAGTGTAGTTCTCCCCCTCCGGCTGGATGCCCTCTGCCCTCCACGTCTCTGGCTGGACAGTGCACCACCACAGTGCCCGGTATGAGGCGTCAAGGCTCAGTTCCCATTCCACGAGGTACTCAAGTACTCAAGTTGTCTGACCTGCTGCCCTCCGGGTTGGTCTCCCAGAAGCGGCATCCGCCAGGCCATTTGTTCCTCCAACTGGTATGCGACACCAGGAAGGCGCTGCTACCATTGATACTGGACTTCCTCCAGGGCATCGTACCATAATTCTTTCCAAGCGATATCTCTCCAGTCTAATTCACTCTCTTCCTCAGGTGTGTGTGTTGCCCAGGGGTCCACGAACCCCATTTTCCCAAATCTTTATGTAGACAGGGACGCTGTATGAACACTAGCGTCGCCTTCAATTTGTAAATCCACGAACTGTGTCTCTGAGCTGCTTTACCTCGCACTAGGATGCCATCCCACCGCTTGCCACCAATGTAACGGATCGCCTGGCACCCCGACTGGGTACCTCCGTTGAAGGATGCTCCTAGCGCTTCCTGAGGACTCCAAGCACTCTGGCAGACACCACAATCACCGAACCGGAGAAACAAATAAATTCTCCCAAGCATATGAATGCTGTAGACAGTTGAATAAGAACCATACGAATAGGTTTACTCTCCTAGCAGTCAAACTGGAACAGCATACAATAAATCCTTCCCCCAATAATGAGACGACACTTCACTTTGAGGGTTAAAACAGGAACTCCCTGTACTGTCACATACAGTCTCTTTTATTTCCAATCCACAAACATAGTACAGCCCACAGGGCGTTACAAAACAACCAATCAATCCGTACAATACACCCAGACACTCCCACACAAACTCCTCCCCTCTGCCTGTGATATGATTACTGAACACAATGGGTAATCTCATTATCACCGGCAGAGGAATACAGTTTTTACACAATATTTATAACTTCTAAAATATACATGTCACAAACATAAAACATACATTTTCATAATCAATCCATTCAGGGAACAACATATTAAAAAATGGCACGAATCAGACCAGGGGTTCAAAAGTTAAGGGAAAGTCCTTTGTGACTAAATGAAGCATGGCTTTCCGGCCCAAACCAGTTTCAGAGCCTTCTATCCTGGAGATTGAATTGAGAAGTAATTCAATTATCTCCCAGGACAGACACACAACTCCATTATGCACATGGTGAGCACAAAGCATTAAAATATAATAAAATACACAAAGTCACATTTTATACATAAAACACAGACATGTCACATATCCCCAGATAGCTGGGATCTGAGCGCACAGTTCAATTGCAATGGAGCCGAAGTCTTTAACTACACGAATGGGCTCCATGGCATAGCTATCTGGGTTAATACATTCACATAAAGTCTGGTCCATAGTCCAAAGGCAAGAGGCGGGCAAGCAGCCCCCTCCAAGGACACGTGGCGAGGCCGGTTTAGCCACACAGCCATTATCTGTGCTGCGGCCTTTATTTCTGCTATACTTTCTATAATACTCTGCATAGACCTAATTACCAAAGGAATCAGACATGGCAGAAGGAGACACAACATCAAAATCAGTATGACTCCACCTACCAATGCCTTGATTCCTCCAAACTGCTCATACCAACTACCAAACCAACTACTCGGATTATACCCTTTCCATACCTGAGTAGGTACATGTGCTAGCTTAACCATATGGCTAGTAAGCTCAGCTGTTGCTTGCCCTTCATCATCTATTCGAAGACAACAATTGCTTAGATTAAACTTCCCACATACACCTCCCTCTACTGCCAATAGGTAATCCAAAACTAATCTATTCTGGTAGATGACTGTCCTCATCCTAGTGTTATGCTTCGCTAGGAGATTGAGCGCTTGTGATGTTTCATTGGTAACTATCCCAACTACTGCTTGCAATCTTATAATACGATTAAGCATATATATTGGGGTTCTGTATCCATAAGTACCATCCTCTGCCCACGTAGCTGGCCCATAATAATCTATAATACGCTGGGGAGGCGACTCATCATCTTCCCAGGTACCTATCTCTAGGGGTGCCCTTTTCTTCCTATGATTTACATAATATACTTTAACTCCCAAAGTCTCTCCTGTTTCAATTGGCAACAAGAAGAAGGATGGTTTGAGCATACCCAATACACATGCCCCTTGTCAGTCCTGTGGTAACTCCGAATATGCTTTCTTACCACAAATCCAGTACAAATTTGCTGGGGCTTTCCAACTAGATGTAGCAGATAGGTCAAACCATACATCCTTTAAATTGGTATAATTTGCAAACGGATTAGACGATTCTGAGACATTTGAAGCTGACCACCAAATAGTATCCTTTGTATCGTCATTATAGGCTTTCTGCCCTAAACAAGTCAATTCTCCTACAGATGTATTAAACATTATTCCTTTCCTTGCTATACAAACATAACCTATAATGGAGGTCTTTAATCGCCACTCAGATTTACCTCTAACACTCACTTGATAATCAGATTGAGAAGATATTAGTTGTTCAACTGTCTCAGAACCAGAATACATTACCTCCTTTGCTTCCCAGGGCCATTGGTCTCCCATATTAGTACCTCCACACACATAGCAGTTGGTTACATTAAGACTACCAGCAATGCTCTCAGCTAAGTCTATGAATAAGTTTTTGGCATTATGGAGAACCTTATCTTCCACACTCATCTCCTCATAAAAAGAATGGAAAACCTGATGAGTCTGGGGGGCCACTGTATCTGTCTCTATTCCTATGTATAATATCGTCCCAGGATCCAAACCTGTTCCATATATTTGGAACCCAAATAGATTCCCAAACCTATCTATAAATAGCTCTGGGTCCTTGATAAGTATATGGACTGGGTTACACTCCATAGACTTACAATATGGCTTGGTAGGCAATCTAGTGATAATCATATCCTTATCTACTGTCTGTCCCCAGGTTGCCCATCCCAAACAGGACCAATATGGACAATAATTGTAGTCTTTATTTAGGCAGTTTGGATCTATATACTTATGCTTATTACTAGGACAAATATACTTATCATTAGACCCATACGTTCTTTCCCATTTAAGACCACCACATACATTCCATGGCTTCCTACTACCTGATATCGCCTTACATACATCAAATAGCAAAACACCTGGAGAATGTACGCTTTCTAGTACAGTCTTATTTATCAGGTTCCCCTGTGCGTTCTCATTCCGAATAGTCAACCAAATTATACGGGGCTGATACTCAGGATTAAAACACCTAGGTTCTCCTGCTCCTATATGGCATACACTATAATCTGTACCTAGGTATCTACACTTTGATACATGTCCTGTGCACTCATATTGCGAATGCCAAATAAGGGTCTGGGAAATACGATTGCCTGTTTTCATAGTCTTAATGCAAACCTCGCAGCCTGGTGTGTCGGTACCTCTACCTTCCTGAATAATTAAAAACACACATAGAAACATAGAAACATAGAAACATAGAAACATAGAATGTGACGGCAGATAAGAACCATTCGGCCCATCTAGTCTGCCCAATTTTCTAAATACTTTCATTAGTCCCTGGCCTTATCTTATAGTTAGGATGGCCTTATGCCTATCCCACGCATGCTTAAACTCCTTTACTGTGTTAACCTCTACCACTTCAACTGGAAGGCTATTCCATGCATCCACTACCCTCTCAGTAAAGTAATACTTCCTGATATTATTTTTAAACCTTTGTCCCTCTAATTTAAGACTATGTCCTCTTGTTGTGGTAGCTTTTCTTCTTTTAAATATAGTCTGCTCCTTTACTGTGTTGATTCCTTTTATATATTAAAATGTTTCTATCATATTCCCCCTGTCTCGTCTTTCCTCCAAGCTATACATGTTAAGATTTTTTAACCTTTCCTGGTAAGTTTTATCCCGCAATCCATGAACCAGTTTAGTAGCCCTTCTCTGAACCCTCTCTAAGGTATCAATATCCTTCTGAAGATACGGTCTCCAGTACTGTGTACAATACTCCAAGTGAGGTCTCACCAGTGTTCTGTACAATGGCATGAGCACTTCCCTCTTTCTACTGCTAATACCTCTCCTATACAACCAAGCATTCTGCTAGTATTTCCTGCTGCTCTATTACATTGTCTGCCTACCTTTAAGTCATCAGAAATAATCACCCCTAAATCCCTTTCCTCATATGTTGAGGTTGGGACTCTATCAAATATTCTGTACTCTGCCCTTGGGTTTTTACGTCCAAGATGCATTATCTTGAACTTATCCACATTAAATGTCAGTTGCCACAATTCTGACCATTTTTCTAGTTTACCTAAATCATTTGTCATTTGGCTTATCCCTCCTGGAACATCAACCCTGTTACATATCTTAGTATCATCAGCAAAAGACATACCTTACCAACAAGATCTTCTGCAATATCACTAATAAAAATATTAAAAGAGGAGTAGGTCCAAGTACAGATCCTGAGGTGTTACCCCACTGGTGACAAGTCAGAAAGCTTCCGAATATATTCCATTAACTACAACCCTCTGTTGCCTGTTACTCCAGCCACTGCCTTACCCATTCAACAATATTTGAATCCAAACTTAAAGATTGCAGTTTATTGATAAGCCTTCTATGTGCAACAGTGTCAAAAGCCTTACTGAAATCTAGGTAAGCAATGTCTACTGCACCACCCTGATCTATAATTTTTACACATATATACATCATCAAACACATTACACCTGACATCTTCTTCCTAATTCTTCGACCGTGCGACGGCACCTCAGCTTCCAGGCGTGTGAGGGCTGCAGGGAATGGAGTCCTTCTGATCCTCACTGTTCTTCACAGAGGATTCCTCTGGCTTAAACGTTGGTAGGTGGTCAGGCTTTATTGTGGCCGTCAAAACACCTACTTGTAGATCTTTGTTGATGTTCCCTTGTAACAATACTCTTCGCAAAAACCACTTTTAATCTAACTGGGTCACTCTCTTCAACCGGATCTTGCAGGGATTCTCAGGATCTTGAGTAGCTTGCCAAGAATCTGCTGCTGGTTTAACCCTGGAGTGATGAATCCACGGAGTCACCTCTGCCACCTTTATAGCTGTTGGAGTAGACAAAAGAACAGCATAAGGACCCCTCCACTTTGGCCCCAACGGTACACTGTTCCACTCCTTTATCCAAACTTGGTCTCCTGGATGGTAAGAATGGACAGGTGGATAAGTATTTACAGGTAACCTATCTTGTACCCATTTCTGTACCTCCTCCATAGTTTTACCCAACTCTACAACCTGCCGCCAGGTAATTCCTTCTCCCAACTGACTCAAGTCCGCCCTTAAGTTACTAAGTATGGGAGGTGGACGCCCATACATAATTTCAAAGGGTGATAGACCTAACTTTCTGGTAGGTGTACTACGAATGGGCAACAGAGCTATTGGCAAAAGAACATTCCACTTGAGTTGGGTTTCTTGACACATTTTTGCCAACTGGGTCTTAATGGTTCTGTTCATCCTTTCCACTTTCCCAGAACTCTGAGGCCTATATGCTGTATGAAGTTTCCACTTAATACCAAGCATATGAGTCAGTTGTTGTAGGCACTGATGGACAAAAGCTGGACCATTATCTGATCCTATAGAACACGGTAGTCCATATCGGGGTATTATTTCTCGCAACAGAAATCGCACAACTTCTCCTGCTTTCTCTGTACGAGTTGGACACGCCTCTACCCATCCTGAGTAGGTACACACAGCTACTAGTAGGTAACAATGTCCGCCTGATTTGGGCATTACCGTGTAGTCTATTTGGAGATCGGACATAGGAAGCCCTCCCATATACTGGACTCCCGGTGGTTTCACTGGACCTTGCCTTGCGTTGTTCTTGGCACATGACACGCATCTTCAAGCAATGGCTTGAGTCAAGTTGGACAATCTTGGTATGTAGAAATGCTTCCCAAGAGATTCTTCCATACTATCTCTTCCAGCATGTGTCCCATTATGATAATTCTGGACAATTTCTACAGCTAGCGATGCTGGAATAACTATTCT